ATACGGGATTCACTCGGTGATTGGTTCAAGGCCGATTCCTCTCCAACTAGTTTTGGTAGAAGCAGGATCGAAAAGGGGGTGCTACGCATTCAGGACATATGGAATTGTATCCTTAGTACATGGTTATATGATGAGGTCCTCAAAACGAAGCTGGGTCAGGTCCGGCGTCTACAGGAACGGAAAAAGTCTCTTATTGATGCCACCCCGGACGACTGGAAGGCTATCTTGGCCCCACAAGGAGTTGACCCCCCTAGTACATGGTTTGTTGCTTCACAACCTCTACACAGGACAATGTGGAAACTCACAGCGATCAATGGTGAGGGCACGAGAGAATTCCAATCTTGGTCTGTAATTGGCGCCTTGCTACTTTCGTTAGATGAGGAATCCGCTGATCCTCTTGTGAGAGCAGTACTCCAACAGATCAGAGTGCTGGAATCCCCTCAGCCAGACTGTACAGTGAAATGTCAGTTATTCAGAGAAGGTACACTGTTGCTTCAACTCAAGGTTGACCCTGCTCAATGGGAGTGGTCCGTCCAAAGTAGCAGGGTACTAACACTATTATGTCTGAGTACACAATCAATCTGGGCTACACCATCAACCTACCTTTAAAACATCCACGGATAGTAGCTAGGGGCCGTTGGACCCAACTATTGATGTTGGACTCAACAGTCATTGACGAGGCCCTGGTATCATGTTGGGATCATCTGAAACTCATACCGAATCAAACACATGCATCCCTGCTTTGGCTGGGCTCTCTGACTGCCACCCCATCTGCTGTGTGGCTTGCAGAAAGGGGAATGAAAATTGATATGAAATGCCTTCGCTGTGAATAGGCCTTTGAACCTTTTATCCTCCTCTGGTGGGACTGCCCAGCTTCCTTCTGCATTTGGAATTGGGTGATATTACATTGGAACCGAGTTTCAGAATCAGCCTTTACATGGACTAAAGAATGGTCCCTGTTGGGCGGAATTCCCTCAGGCTTTTCGAAATCCAAAGGTTGGGGGTATGTGGCCCAAAACTTTCGAGCATCAGGCTTTGTAGTGATCTGGCAAAGCCGAAACGACAGGATCTTCAACAACAAAGAATGGACCAATCGCCAGATTCGATGCTCCTTTGTTCTTCATTTGAGACGTGCTATCTTGGCGGACTGGCGGAGGAAGGAGGAAAACCCACCCTCATGTCATGGTCTCCAATGGTTTCAGGAGACCTGGGCACTGCGGAACTCCATCGTGCAGGTAGAAAACAATCGACCTGTCTTCAGCCAATGGCTGCTTCACAAATAGTAAGTGATTTGACCTTGGTTGTTCAAGTTTGTTCTTTAACTTTTTTCTGTTTTTCCTTTGGTTGCAACCTGTAACACTCGGTTGCTCAGGATCAGTTATACAGGTCGCAGTAGACAAGCAGATAAGCATAGTTGTGGAGGGAGCGTGACGGCATTGCTTTATTTGGTTGGTGGTTCTTTTTTTTTTTTTTTTTTTTTTTTTTTTTCCAAGGTTGGGAAATGCCAGAGCAGCGGTCAGGATTCAGCCATTTCTGCTTCTGGACTTCAATTCCCAACGCCTGCACCAGAAACAGGGTAAGGGCCTCGTTCCACTACTCGCCATCCGCCACCAATCGTGGCGAGGAATGGCGACCGGTATTTTCCTGATTTTGTGGCAGAAAACGGCACAAGGTTCCATTTCATGGCCGCCGCCATGCGCGTTCTGATGTCTATCCCGACCTGAGTACTGGTTTGCGGCGGATGGCAGGATAATGGAACCATGGCATTATTTCGCCAGAGGCGCGTTGTGGGACTGGTACTGCACGAAATCACTCCATGCACGATGATAACTCGCCAACGCTACGGGACAGGTGCGACCGGTAGTCAGGACCGCAGTGTCAGTACAATTCGCCATAGGATGCCACTAGTGGAGGCTGCCTCCTACCGCCCTCCACAAGACGCCGTGACAGGCAGGGGAAACGAGGCTCTATGGCGACCGACGGCCAACCCAAATTTTCTTCAAGTTTTGACAACATTCGTTTTCTGGCGAAAGGCGATGCAGTGGAATGAACACGCCGCCGCCAATCGTGGCGGATGGCGAGTAGTGGAACGAGGCCCTGAAACAGTATTCACCAGTTCGCAGTAGCTTATGCAGATCCCAGGGCTCGATCCCTAGTTCCTCACCTTACCTGTGTACAGTATCTGTGTAGTCCCCGAGAGTTGAACCCGCGACCTGTGTGTTTCGTAGCAGGTGGTAGGTTGTTGTAGGGTCTGTAGGCCATCGGGGTTCGAACTGTAGACCTGTCCCGTAGGAGTCCAAATAGGTCCAGAGGGCGTAGCTGTGGGTTTTCCCGAAGAGTCAAGGTCGTAGCCGGTCCGGTCCTGAAAGGTCAAAGTCGTAGGTGCTACTTACCTGAAAGGGCAAGGTCGTAGCTGCAACAGTACCGAAAGGCCAAGTAGAAGTCTCCAGAAGTGGCCTTTCGGAATCAGCCCCAGTTTAGGCAAAGGCAAGTGGGCAAGTGGTGGTAGTCCACGCCGCTGAGTCAACAGTCCCAGTTCAGTCAGTTCGGTCCTGTCAAGCAAGTACCGTCTGGGACTGTGTGCACCATGGGCCAGGGGTTACAGGGCAGACCAACGCATCATAGAAGTATAAATCAAGAGGCTGCGCCCAGCCATTCATTCATTCATGCAGAAGCCATGTGGAAGCGCTGCCT